AAACAGGGAAGAAAGAAAGCAAGAGAGAAAGTGGGAGGCACACATACAAGTGATGATGACACATTCAGCAGAAGATCCCTCAGGAACCTCATGTCCAGAAAACCTGTAGATCTTGAAGACTAGCCTGCACTGGAGGCCTACTGAAAAAAAGCTTACCCAGGGTTTGTGCTTCTGCATTCAGCATTCCCTCTTTGGTAATTTTTTAAGAATGCTGCCTGTTCCCTTACATTCTTTTGTATTTTTCAACTGTTCATCAACAGGCTACAAGCTGGGGTGTAAACTCCAGTTCTGTCATATAATTCAATCCAATTTGTCAGAGATAATCCTTTGCTTCTGGCCACATACAAAGTCTTGTGTGGAGGCAAATGGTGAGTCACTTTCTAGATAGGATGAGGTAATATTGTTCCCACCCCATCATTTAGACCATTCCTTTGTATTGCATTTTGAAAATTAATCCACTGAGGATTGTGGGATGGCACTTCAGATATTTTGGCAGTTCATCTAGAATAGTTGTAGAAATTATAATTTTATTGTGCAGCCAAAATCAAATAACTACACAAATAGGAGGATTCAGCTATTATTACTCATTAGTTGCAGTCTCCAAGATTAACAAGACTTACTCCTGCAACTGCTGTATAATATGTCCCCATAATAGTAATGCTTTAATTTGAGGACCAGCAGTACTTTCCTGGATCACATGTAAGCTTTCGCTCAAACATTATCACATTAAAGCATTCCCATTCTACCATAAAAACTGCATGGATAAAGTCTTGGTGTAGCATTAAGTTGTAAATTGTTTTTTCTTTCTTCTGTTCCAATTAAACAATTTTTTTCCAACTTCGTTCTTGCCCTTTTTGTTCAATCAAAGAAACATCCCAAAGATGTTTTTATACTGGCCAAAGTAATCTCAAGACCTATTAAAGCATAACCTCCTTCACCAGATTGGGTGTACTTCTACTTTACATAATTTCACTCATAGTTTTCATCCTTACTGAATTTGAATTTTCTTGTGACTTATTATTTTTGTAGTACAGAATGCCCAAGGACAATAGCTTATATTTTCATGCATTGGAGAAAGATGGTTTAAGCAAGTTAAGGGAGATGAAAGCGTCACATTGAGTTAGCCAGAGTGTGCAGACTATTGAATATGAGAATGTCAGGTTATGTGTAGACTTCAGTTCTGTAGGGGACTGAGCCTTTAAGATTGTTATTTGATACAGAAGGAAATTTGTATACTAAGGAATAATCGTAGCAGAAAAGAATGGGGAATGATGGATGGTACAGGCAGCAATTCTTCCATTAGGTCAGATAAGGCAATCAGAAACTCTCATTCCTTCCCCCATAGTCATGGATTTGTAGAATCGTTCCCTCTCTTAGTAGTTTTCTGGACAGCCAGTGGCATATATAAGTTGACCTAGGGATGCATAATGATAACTAATTATAAGGGGATGAAAGTATAAACAGAAGGATTAATCAACTGGGGGGGGATTATTGTAGGGTGTTACACCTAAGAAATCTTTTTTACTCAAATAGTACAAGTAGGAAAGATCCTCTGCATCTTGATATTGAAGCCTTGACCCAAAGCTTATTTATCTTAAGTTTCACATATCATGTTAATCTAGTATTCCCCAAATAAATTAGTTTACACTAAGTAACAAAACCTATGGATTGAAACCAATGGCTCTACTTGCCAGGAATATATAGGCTGTTCTGTGGTCTTCTTTAGTCTCCTTGTACAAAGACGTCAGTCTTGTTTACTGATCTATTTATGCAATTCTAGTCTTGTAAGTCCAACTTTATTTGAAAACTACTTTAATGCTTCAAGCTCTATAAAAAGTTAAGTTTGTATTCAGTCTGGGCTTTGAGAACACAACTCTTTTACTGACGGAGGAACAAGCTGCAGTGTGATTTGAGTTCGTATCCTCTTCTGAACCTTTACAATTTGGGTTTAGAGCTCATTATTTGATAACAGAACATAAATGTAGCATTTTGAAAACATGGCTGTATGTGCCTCCTCTTTGAAGCACTGCTCAGTTGAAAGAGCAGGTTTTCTGTAGCAGCTCTTATCTTCAAAAGCAACTGAATTTTCCATTTTTGATCGGTATCTTCTTAAGATGAATAGCTATTACTGTGATAGAAAATAATATCTTCTTCAGTGTCTTTTTCTGTTCATAATGTGCATTGCTTTGAGTATCCATACAGAGAAATGTAACAAGCAGTTACATGGAAGTGGGTTGGTTTCCAATGCAGTAGTAGTTTACAACAAAGGTGCTTCCTTACATTGCTAGCTTTTTAGCACCATCAATGTTTCATCTTCTCAGTTATTTAATCTTCCTATGTCAGTCTCTATAGTATGTTAAGAATTTTATTATTCATACAGTAGTCTTTAAAGTGTCTGTTTTTAAGAAATGTTTTAGCTCATTTGTGTATTGCTGTATTTTGTATAAATTGATGATTTTACTATGCATCACCCACAGAACTTTTAAACAGAGATAAGTAAATAAGAATTAAAAAAATATATATAAACAAAAGTTATTTCTATATAGAAACACTATAGCTTAATATTAAAATAAACCCTTGCACATGGAAGATTTTGACTTCAGTCATGTCCCTTTAGAACCTGACAAATGGTTCATAGTTGAAAAACAATTTGGATATGAGTGAATAAAGTAACATTTCTTGGCTTAAGGCAATTTTATATACTCATTTGGCAGTTCACATGATTGCTACCGTTAATTTCAGTGAAGTTGGAGCACTTCTTACAGTTCTACAATCCACAAGCAAATAAAGGCATGTAGTTTGATCCTCTTCTTTTGCTCAAGCCTCATATTGCTGTTTCCTCTTTTCTATCTTAAATTTATTCACAAAAGCTATCCTTAGGTATTGATTGTATGAAAACTTTTAATTAATATTCATCCTTTCCCCTTGTATTATATTTAAATGGTAGGAGTCCTTCAATATAGAAGGTTCCTAGTATTATCAGTCAAAAGGCATCAAAGACCTATTCCATCTTTGCCTCCTTAAGAATTTTTCTGGAAAAAATGACAGAAGAAATGGTGAGAAAGGACTAAGCATTATGAATGGAAGATGTAGACAGTATGCATTATAAAAAGTGATTATTTTCAAAGCAAGTGATGGAGTACTTAAGTTTCCAAATGTGCATGAATAATTAGCATTTGGTGTTATGATCACCAAAATACTTGTTGCTTAAATTGTAACGTATCCTTGTCTTAGTAAGGTCATGCTCATTGCAAGATAAATGGGAATGTTTACTTTAAATGCTTATTCTCTGAGTCCAATAGAGCACGGGTGTCAAACTTGCGCCGTCATGTTGCCACCATATCACGTACCGTGATGTTTTTCTCCTTTGTGGAGCTGAGGTGGGCGTGGCCTGCACATGACGCATCTGGCTTGTGGGCCGCCAGTTTTGACACCCCTGCAATAGAGGATATTTTCTACCTCAGGATGTTTTATCTCCTGGAGCTAGTAGGCAGGGTCCACAATTAAACTTGTCTTTCCAGAGCGTGAGAAGCCATATTGCCTCCCAGATTGTCTTAGAAAAATAAGACTAGTTCTTCACAGTGTAACTAACATAACAGAAAAAAAAATCTATACTTTAAGTACATTTATTTCAATTTCATAAAAAAAGGCAATCTACTACATTACAATCCAATGTTGCAATAGTAGTAGATTCCTGTATTAGATGTTCTCCAGGACTCTTACAATCCTTATATTTCATGACCCAAAGGGTCAGACAGAAGGAAATCCCCAGTGAGTACTGCCTACCAACCCCCCTATATGTTGAAAGAGAAACATTAATAGGATTATGCTTATCAGTTTTCTGAATTAGAGATATTTGAATGTCCTCCAGAGGTTTCAAAGAATAGATAATTTATGGTGAGAATTCTCATTTCTAAACCCCATCGAAGGCATTATCAACCTTGGGATGTATCAGAGCATTTATGGAAAGAATTCTGACTTTAGCAAATAATCAACTCAACATGACATGTCTTTTCAAAGCTCTGAGGCACATATATCTATTTTGTACTGGTTAGAAAATTTATATGCAGAGGCCCATGTATAACCTACATCTTTCTCATAAAAAAATTGTCATGGAAAGTTACAGTCATGGCTACATATTAATTCTCCTGAGCAAGTAAGCTATTACACTCCCTGGCATTTTTCTTTCTACTATACATTGTGAAGTCAATACAAATGAATGAATTTATTAACTTGTTCCTTGTTTATCTAGTATAGAAGGCTAAAGTAATTTCCAATTTTTGAAACTCTAAATTTCTGCAAAACTAAGACATGTGCATACATTTAATTTAGGCCATGCAATGCATACTCCTTAGAATATAATCACATCAGAAAGAATAACTAGAGGACCTTTTATTGCAACCAAGAAATTAATATTAGAACAAGTGTAGAATTTGTGTAAAAATAAATTAGAATTATCTGATTTTGAAACTTATGAGCTGATAACTATCAAGAAATTTATTTTAAGAGACAGCAGCGTAAACAATCATAAAGCCATGGGCTTAAAGGGAACTTTGTAAATTCTTTCACTCTGTAAATATTCAATGAACTTCCATGAGAGAAATCTACAGAATATTTATTAATTGGACCATCCTTTAAAATGCTACGCAGCTGTAATTGAATGTTATTGAAAAAACCTCACAACTGAGTTTTGACAAAAAGTCCTGGCTATAAAGCAAGATATGTTAGCATTTTGGTAAAGCTGAAGCTAATCATGAGAATGGAAGAGGGGCAGCTACCATTGTCTTTGTTAGTATGTGAAAGTAAGCACCATTGCAATCCAATGTCATGAACCAACTTCCCAAATGAAGTAGTTGAACCATGCTTACTGTTATGACTATGCACAATTTCTTAATGCTGATTTTAAAAAAAGTTGGGATCATATAGAAGAGGCACAATCTCAGACTAAGCAAAATGAGAACAAGCATTCTTTTTTACATAGGAGATGTGGTATTGGTTCTATATCTCTTTTGCAAATGAGAAAGCTACTTTTGGATGAGAGTAACAGGTAGCACGCTAGGCACTTGAGAGGGATTAATGTCAAGCTGCATAACATAACTTTTGTGATGAAAAGATGTGATACATTCCACTAGTCCAATATGATCTGCCAAACTAGTTGGTAAAAACAGTCTGTCTACAAGCTGCATAGTATAGTTTGGAACTGATGTCTGCAAATCACTTGCGTTGAAATGGTTAATACCTCTGTATTTCCAAGAAACACTTTTGAAAATATTTTGCCACAGTATGGAATTCAGAGTAAAACTTGTAATTGCATTTTGAGAAGGAGATCTGATCCCATCCTTGGTAATACAAGTTCGAGAGATGCCGAAGAGCTAAAGCATGGAGTATTTTTCTCATATACTTAAATTAGCTCAAATACGATTGATTTTGAGGACAAAGTTCTCTACATGGGATTCCGCCTTTGAAGTCCTGAGGATCTCACAAGCCTCCCTAAGGAAATAGCACTTGTCACAGATTTTGATGTAGTTCACATTAGGCCACAAAATGTTGCTCTGTTGCTTTGGCAGTTCTTCTGTCTCAATACGTACTGAAAAACTCCCCAAAGGGGGAAAAATATAGTTGCCCACAGAAGCATGGAAGTTGGTAATTCTGAAGTCCAAAGTTGCTGTGAAGTAAAAACTGTGACCAAAACCATCATAGTTATGGCTTTTTTTACTGGTAGGAGATACCTTTATGATGAAATACGATGATGTATATTTGAAAAGTGCATTTCTTCTCCTGAACCCTGTAGATTTTCTCCAGTCTTTTAAAAGTTGGAAGAATGGATGAGAATTTAGGAAATAAAGTTCCTTAGCATCATATAGTATTGTAATATTAATATAGCTGAAGGTACTGGAAGAGTCATTTTGAATAACAAAACACTGGATTAAGAGACTTAAAATGTCTAGTTCTAAAGTTTGCTCTGCACAAAGGCTATAGGTAAAATGGGAGTGGGCGTGATGGCAGCACCTATCATCATTGGATCTGATGAGGTGGTAGAAGGGTATACTGATAATGTAAATTCAATTGTATGTGTTCAATTCAAGACTGCTGAAGGAGCAGGAGGTGCCAATGGAATATTTCAGGATATAGTACTGAGGTTTAAATGGTTGCAAGCTAATAACTGTTCTGGAGATATCGTGGCAATAAATCTCTATCCCAAGAACCTCAATCCTGTATTCAGATACCAGCAAAGTTTTGATACGGCAGAAGTAGGAAACAGGTATCAATATAGAAACAAAGTAATCAAATAATTCTTGCCTATCCAATGAGCCCAGTGAAAATGAATTCTGTTATCATTGGGGGGAGGGGATTTCCATTTTTGGAAGGATTATAGTCATCTAACCTTTCTCCGGTTTGTAGAATCTTGGATTTTACCTTCTCAGAATAACAGCCTACTATCAGAGGTAACATAGCATCCAACATCAAAGTTGGCACTAGTAAAATCAGTTTTGGGATTGAAAAAAAAAATCAAAGTTGACACTTTGATTGTCATTATTATAGAATTGTGTGAAATGGATGGTAACAGTGCCATCAATGAAACTAGGTTTTGCAAAGGTTGAGCCCAATTTCGTACTGCTCCTTTTCTGAAGGGATAGTTGCCTGAAGAGTTTGCTCTGTTATTCACGGTAAAAAAAAATGCAGCCACAGAAAATAATAATAATAAAAAAGAAATCTTCAGCTAGGGCATTTTTCAGAACATCTTTTTGTATAGGTGCTAACTCATACATGTGGCTCACAAATACCATGAAGTCTACTTACAGGTATCTTCAGTGCTCTTTTCTGATGAGTACATGAAGACAGATCTTTGACAACTTGACAGGAAATATAAAATCCTGTTGGTTGCTAGATGTTTGGATGAATTTAAAAGCTTCCAATCATGATGTGTTTTTTTGCTGAGATAGTTATTTAAGGCACAAGATGACTTTATTATTTCATTCTTTTGGCAGATTATAAAATTCAAATCTAGAGAGATGTACTATGGCTCTGTTCTCAAATGAATAAATGAATAAGAAGTGGCCTTAATATAATTCTTGTGTTCATGGGACTCTTTAATTGTAAGGAAGAAATAAATCTATTTTCTTGAAGTTCTATGATCCAACAGATCAGTCACAACTTGTAACTAGTGCATGGGCCAAGTCCAGAAGGCAATCATAGGTTTTCTATCAGCAGATTGACGGTTCTTGAGAATTTGGAAGATACATGGTTAGAATGAGACTCGGTATGAATTCTTAGATATTTGGTTCCATTAATGTAATTAGTAGGCAATATTTTTGCAGCAGGAAAAACTTTTATTTTTGAAAAAGTGGGTTGATCCCCAAGGTCCACAAAGAGCATGAGTAAAATGTGAAATTGCTAGAGTAGATAAAGCTGTAATTTTCAACATTATTTTTTTTCATTTGGGAGGGAAATTCTATGTGGACTCAATCTCAAATCAATGATTGGTTAGATTAGCTAGAGGGACTGTTTTGCTTAATTTTCACAGCACAATCTTAGGAGTTTTTCAGAAATTGTAAAATGGAGATATGGATATTTGTGGATTAATAAATTATTTAGCTTTGATTTATCTTAGTTCTTTGGAAGGTTTAAACATGATAATTAGATAAAATGAAATGGTTGGTTAGCTTTGGACCTATGTTCATTTCCTCCTGGCTAGTGAAAAAGCTTTCTTTTCATCCTTGTCACCCTTATGGTAGTCTAAGATTCTGGAAGAAGAAAAAGGAACCAATTAAATCAATCTAAGAGCACCGATTCTTATCTTAGTTTCTTAACTATTGCATGTGTTTTCTTGCAGCAAAATATAGGTCAAATCTCTGAAATGGATAGTATCCAGAGTTGAGTAATCTGAAAGGGCTCACGTGGATGAAAATTTCTGTAAGCCATTCTTCGCCGGTCTGGGATGAAACCAAAGATGTCATCTTTTATGTTGTTTTTATATTGGCAGAAACTCCAAATGCTACTGTAGTGTTTTTATGTACATCTCAATCTTTTCTCATAGAGGAGATTAGGACTATATCTCACAATAGGAAATGAATGCTGCAACAGAGGTATCAATAATAGGAAATTTGAGCAGTTCTGAAACTTGAGTGGGAAATGCTTAGCCTTTATTCACTAATTCAAAGTCTGTTTCTGGTGGCATGGGCCAATCTACTTTTCCAAGGTAGTTTGAAGACAATAACTACATACATGGTAAAAAAGAAAATGGCTTAGGGGAAGCAAATATTCAGGTTCCCTGAACATAAGAGAATTATAGAACACTAATGTATTAGCTAATAAGTTGTGAAAAGTTCAGCTTGGAATAAACAGGGCCCTGTAGAGGGAGGCTAAAGCTTTCCTGAAAGGACAGCTTACACTTTCAAAATAGAATCCAGACATTTCCAAGAAGCTTCAAGATAGCAAGGAGGAAATACTAATGGATACCTTTTCATTGCCTTTGGAATGTCCCCACTTTTAAAGAGTATTTCTTAAAACTTTGAGAATAAATTATCAGCCTTAGGTTGGAAAGAGATGAAGGAAAGGTGAAACAATGTTCTGATAATTCTGAATCCCAATGTGATAAATAGGATGTCTCCTTATGGGGACAGATTCTTTTGATAGTCCAAAAGCACTCATTTGTACCAACCAACCAAATATCATTGAGCCTATGTTTAGAAGCAGCTTGGTGATGTTAAAGAGTGATTTCCACCTCTTAAACCCCCAAACTCCCCTTCAAAATAGGTCTAAAAGTTATCTCTAGTGGGAAGAGGGAGGCGTCATGATAAATCCAAATGAATTGTTGGAGGCCATAACTGGCCCAAAGATTTCCACTCTTGAATTAGGAAGAATCTAGATCTGCCCCTTAGCTCTAATGTCTTCCCTGGATAACTGAGCTGGAGCAAATGGGAGATTTATTACTCACCCCCACCTCAGACATCCACCCAGAAGGTCTTGGAGCCAAAATGGAAAGCTGCCCTGAGGGATGGAATGTTGGCCTTCTTCCAAGCTGTTGCCCTCAGAAGCCTCCATTCGTTGAGTTCGAAGAAATGGGCTCGGTGACTGTGTCCCCGCCCTGCCCTGTAGAAAAGTGGAGGGCAACGGGATGGAACTCAGCACTTAGGAATGGAAGAGATTGCATCTTGTGGGTCTTTGGTGGTTATGGAACCTAATGGCTGGTACAAGTGCTGTGGTCTCTAATGATACTGAGAAATGCCAGGAATACACAGATATACCTTCTGGTTCCTGGTTCCCTGTTTCTAGGCTGGTGGTAGATTAGCAAGAGTGCAGAAAATATACCACCCAATCCTATTGCCTTTTCATTTACCCCACCTTTTAGCTAGGCAAGTAGTTATAGGAGGTGGAAAGGGGAAAGGAGATGCTGGGTAGGTATAAAGAAAAATAAAAAACAACATTTTCTAAATATTATATATACTGAATGGACTATTAAAGAATTCTGTCAGAACAATCACTCTACTCTCTAGGCATGACCACAGGTAGAGGCAAATTTACTTGTGAACCCTATTAGCTCCAGGAAGTTGTGCCATCCTGAGGTGGATGATGCCCTCTATACAGTGGTGGGATTCAAATAATTTAATAACCGGTTCTCTGCCCTAATGATTTCTTCCAACAACCAGTTCACCAAACTGTTCAGAAAGTTAACAACTGGTTCTCCCAAAGTGGTGCAAACTGGCTGAATCCCACCACTGCCTCTATAGGACACACGGGAAGAGTAATAATCTTTTATTTCTTAACTCAAACCAATCATAGGAAAATGAATCTACCAAGAGGCGGAAAGATTTGGCATGTTTACTTCAATAGCAAGAGGCAGTTAAAGATAGTTTTACATTTCTATTATGGCTTCCGCGTAGTAATTCAGAAATGTAGAAACCATATGGGAGATATGCTATTGCATCTGAAGGACTGTATAACTATTAGCAACCAAATCGCCCTAGCATAATTGGACAGAATAATTTTTCCTCCATGACTCCTTCCTTGATAAAACAACTAGACAACCAACAATTTTGCCCCCCACCTACCCTCAACTCTCAGATTATGTCAGAAACTTTCAAGTGTAGGGATTGACACAATAATTCACTTTTTATTACTACTTGAATGAGAATCCTTGGATACATAGACCAACATTAAAAACTGCTACAGTTCATCTGAAGAACCTCATTCACAGATTTTGACTCTACTTAAGTATCATTTTGAAGCATTTCATAATTTAGTGAATTATGTTAGTGTTCTTGCTTGAATTCATGTGATCTCCTGTGTCATTCCATCATACAGTGGCATATTTGATACATAATTTTCATAGTCTCGGATTGCATTGCACCTCAATCAACTCATTGTAACTCTGGCTAAGAAAGGTAGAAAAAAGCCCTTTCCATTCAAGTGAGAGTGAACATTTCAATAGCTAGGCCATGAATCAGTAACAGAAATCCAATGGATGAGGTGAAGGAAAGATCTTTCTCTCTGTCTCATTCACACACATGGAAAATGTCACAAGAACTCTGGTTGCTGAATTGGGAATTGGGAGAGAAAAAAAGACACACTTTGGATCAGTTATTGAATTGTGCACAGGATTAGGGTTAGACTATGGAAATACTGAGGGACAGAAGGAAAAAATTCTGACAGAACTGTATTGACAGAGGAAGAGGCATGAAAGCAGAGAAAGGGGGGCAGAAAAAGGAGTATTTGCTTCTTGTTAACAGTGAGCACCTTCTCATAAGGTTATGTTTTTGTAGACAGAAAATTTCTCAGGTCAAGCAAATTAATACCTGAAATTCATCTGACATGGTGCCAATTTCCTTGTTAATCCTCAATTATACATCGATGAACTAACAAGGAGAATGCTTGGGAGGTTCTCCAGATGGGTGGACATAAGTTTCCAGGATTCTAAAGGTGATGCTAGTTGCAGAATTTTTGCAGATTGTCCAAACATCTGGAGATTGCCAAGTTTGGGGAAGTTGCTCTAAGTGAGGGTTTGAAGGGATATTGTTGTACATAATTTTTCAAAATTTTATTGCCCTTTTGTCCTTAGTGTTCTTTCTTACATTATTGTTTATCTCTTCAATTGTACAGCCAGCTTGTGCCATCTGGATACTTGAAGTGATTTTTGCCTAACTTATTGTTCTACAGTGTGGTGTAGTTTAAAGTAGAGAAAAATTACCCATATAAGTCTTTTTTACTATGGAACTTGACGATAAAAACATGCAAACTGGCTTGGATTCTAACTGCATATTGATTAAAGACACTTCAATGTTAAATGTTCAGAATAGGCATTTATTAAACATGCCAGGGTCAAACTGGATGGTGTTCTTCATATTTTTAACTGAGGGATATATTTCTGTATGTATTGCTGGGGAGGAGCATAATAGCAACTTTTCTTCTAATGCAAATGGCAAGAGTAGGAGATTAATCCTGGCTGGAATTATGCCACATATATACCCTGATTTTGAAATGACATAGCCTGATAGTACTACTTTCATCTAATCATATCCTGCAATTGAGACAGATTGTTATTTATTTTTAGCTACTCTAGTTTTACAGTAGAATTTTTCCTTTTCTCCTGACACCATTATTTTATTGGGGCCATGAACCAGCATTCTTTTAACAAGCCTGTAATCCCTTGCTTAAGGGTGGAGTCAGGGTGACCAAATGAAGCTGACTGTTTACTGGTTGGATGCCCTTCTTGACATCTATGTAGGGTTCGCAGCAGATGCCTTCTTTTTGCACCATGGTAGAGAAACATCTGCTGCTATCAAGGATTGAACACTCAACCTTCTGAGTGGGAGGTGGGTATCTTCACCTCTAGGCCACTGCACTGCTTGGGTCATGAACTGGCATAATCCTCCCTTCTGGGTAATTCTGCCACAGGCTGCAGGAAAAGCTGGTTCATTCAACTGAGCTATCCACTATGTTTCTGGTTATTTTCTTGTTTGGAGAACTGCATCAGACAAAACAGAAGCTGAGCAGCAGGGAAGTGAGGGGTACTGCATTGAGAAATAGAAAAAAATAGCAATAGCAATAGGATTTAGACTTATATACCGCTTCATAGTGCTTTACAGCTCTAAACGGTTTACAGAATTAGCATATTGTCCCCAACAATCTGAGTCCTCATTTTACCAACCTTGGAAGGATGGAAGGCTGAGTCAACCTTAAGAAATATAGATTTCTCCTGCCGCTTCAGAACACAACCTTCCTGAAAGCTATTCATATGAAATGTATTAATATTTACTTATCAGGGGTTTGTTTACAGGAGAATCTGGAAGAGGCAGCTTATTACTTTACAAATCACTGGTTAAAGGGACCAGCTTTGTCAGAGACCAGTCAGATAAAATCTGGCTTCTCCCTCTGTCTGCTTCTTCTGCAATTGCAGCTCTGGAAGATAAAGAACTGACTATCCATTTCGGTCAATTTGCCTGAAAAACAGATGAAAGGAGCTACAATGTCTACACAAGACATGTCACCCTTTTTTTGTTTTACATTGAAATGACAGTTTAGCAGTCTGTCAGAAGTGTGCTAAACTCAAAGTTAAGACAGCTGACAGACAAGAGTGGCAGTTGCAAAACAACATGGGAAGCTCTCCTACTACACCAAGGACACACTCTGCTAGAGAGAAGTTCCCTGAAGATGGGCTCCACCACAACTCCAAAAGCTCAGACGACAAAACCTCTGGTCCTGGTGACCGACCCAAATTGGATCCTGCAATTTTATCCTGGGACATGTATATTTACCTTCATTTATGAGGAACTACTCCCCACTGTCAGCTGTTATCTCAGCTATTTTTAACTGCAAAGAGTACTAAACCCATTGCCATATTTATCAATCTTTCCCTGGACCCATGTCTAGCAGTAAATTTGTTTAATTTAAAAATAGCCTTCCCAGCACCTGATCTGTTAGCTGTTTCCTGACAAGCTTTTTTCTACTCCTATTTGTTCCAGATTTTCAGTCTAGGCTAAGGAAAGGTTTGGAACAGTCTGTCCTTTCTCCATCTTCAGTAAGCAGCTGATTTCAGACAGAGGGTTGCCCAGGCACTGCACTAAAGTAGTAAAGCCACATTTTGGCAAAAAACTAAAATAGTGGCTAGCTAATTATCAAAATTCTTCCCCTTCCCCTAGTTCATCGGGGATAGTTGTTTTTCCAGCCAGCAAGTTGTTTTCCTTAAATGTGTCTCTTGTCATTCCTCCAGTAAGGAAAGAGCCACTCACCAATTTTTTTTACTGAAGCAGAATAAGGCTTGGCAGTAAATGTAGGAAATTAATGTCTGCATACTTTTCTGCTTAGTTTAAGAGCTGTGGCATTTCACATTACCACCAGCCATGAGGAAATAAACAATTAAAATGTGTAGTTTTATCACCTGACAGGAAACAATCAATAAGGAGAATCACCTTCTTGCTCCTTTATTTGCATTTTCTTGCTGTTTTCAAACATAGTGAAGATTAAAAATCATGAAAACCCATGATGTATATTGGGCTATGCTAGGTGCCTTGGAGAGGCAATTGAATTTTTTACTCCTAATTGGAATATGCATCCATACTTACTAAATTCTAATGTGTTTGTATGGGTGGCGTGGCAGCTGGTTGGGAAACAAATCTATTCTGATATTGATCCAAACTAGTTTCAGATCTGCAATAGAATTTGTCCAGAGGACTTTCCTGAAGTTTCTCTGAACTTTAAGAAAGTAAATCCAGACTCAGTTTCTGGATCCAGTTCAAATTTTTCAGTCTTAATGTAAGACAAATATATTATCAGTGTACTGTAGAGCATAGTGTACCAAGCACCTAATTTTGCTTTTGTCCTACTAATGTGGCCGTCTCTGCCACCATATAATTAATGTACTGTACTGGAAATGGGTTGTAACTAATGCTGTGGCGTTTATTTAGACAGAAATAAAATCTAAATATTGTTGCATATATATTCTGCATCCAGAGAAGATGGGAATTACAGAAGCATAATTTTATATGGGGGAACCTGATGTTGAGTAAAGTTTTATTTATAGGTTACAAATGGTTAGTTTTCATATGGATATGTTCTATGAAGATATGTCACCGGATGAATATTTACCTTCAAAATTTCTTATTTGGACATCAAAGGTATTTTAGGTTATTTGGAGTGTTCTAAGGGAATGATAAACAATTTCTGCTAGATGGCACTTCAATGAATTATTTGAGTAGGAGCATGCACCTCAGATTTGTTTTTTTTTAAACCCACCCCTTATTTATTGGCCATAATGGAGTCTCTGAAACATGAAACACTAACAGAACCGAATGTACACGCTGTTATTGCTCAAGAAACTGGAATGAGGAAGGGGAAGAAATTACAAAAAATATAGGCTTGTTTCTGCTCAATCAAAATAATTAAAAATGAAGCTGACTTGAAATATTTATTGTTTCGTTTTAAAAAAATAATATACACACAGACACATATATATATATTCTACCTTATAAGCAACACGGGCAGGGCATTTCTTCCCTAACCCCAGGGGTGGAGACATATGTCTCAGCATCTCATACATGTCCATGAAAGTCATCCGGCCCCTGGGAGCAAAAAATAAAAAATAGCCAATAATAACCAATAATAATTTTGAAAAAGGAAAATGCATGGAAAAATAGAGAGAAAGAATTTCAAAAAAAAATAAAAATTAAAAAATTAAAAATCAATTAGAAAAGAGAAAAAAAGATAAAAATGAAAAGATTACTGTGCTGCTGGTCAGCAAGGAGTATAAATATGCTTGATCTTCATGGATGATTTTTAGTAGAAAAATTGTTTGTAATCAAATTGTGGTCCACCAAATATTGGACTACACGTTCGAAGTTTGTGTCCTTGTCACAAGAGTTCAGATTTCACTTAAGCATGTGTCATCATCTGCCTTGCTCACTATGAGGTTAATGCAGATCACAATCCTTATGTTCTTAGCAGATCAAAAAGTACAGAGAGTCAGATTTTCTTAGAAAAAGAGAAGGAGAAAGAGAGAGAGATAAGAAAGCCCCTTTTTGCCAATATAGGAGAAGGGAAAACTACAGGAAGAAAAGGTGTTGGAGGAAAAAAAGGCTGGAAAGAATTGGGGAGAGAGGGGGGGAGGGAGAAATGGTCGAGTGTTGATGGAGTCTCTGTCCTCCCCAGATGGAAGTATTAGTATGCAGAAAGTGGCAGTGGTGGGTACAGAGAGACTCATAAAACCTTCCAGGCCTAGCTCCAGCTAACAGCAAGCAAAGATGGTTCAAGGTAATTGATATGCTCCATGCGTTACTGGTCTGGGTGGCAGCATCATTTCACGCATTCTGTTGGCTAATTACATTACTAAATTACTTTTGAAAGTGCAATATGTAGATAGATATGTGTACGGATATATATATATGCACAGGCATATATATATAAAAGATATATATTTAAAAAAACCATAAGCAACATTCATTCCGTTGATGCTAGCAGGTTTTAGTGTAAGTCAAACCTTGCAAGCAACCCTATGAGGGCATTTCTTGCCTAAGCCCAGGGGGGGAGATATTACACGTAATAAACTGTACATATCCTTATAATGAATTCGGCCACTGCAAGAAGAATACACGGGGGTTAGTGCAGACGCTACAGGGCAAAATAAACACATACACTGTTATGTACACACAGAACATAGCAGAACTAATGGCTAGAGACCTTCACTTCAGTCAAGTAATACCATTTCCCTCTGTTTATACGAAGAAGCTGAACTTTCCCATTGGCTGCAGTAGGAAGAAAGGGGCTTCTTAGAGCCATAGCACATCAGTTTTTTTTACTGATGCCTTCCCATCAACTTTGTGAGAAGGGAAGGGAGCCAATATATAAATTATAATAGGAATGGGCAATCTGTGGCCCTCCAGATGTTGGCCAGTAACTTCCATAATCCTTTACTATGGCCATGCAAGCTAGGGCTTATGGAGTCTGGACTTCAAGAACAGCTGGAGGGTGACATGTTAGCCCTCTTTGGTTTACATTCATATATTAAGTAGCTGAGAAGTAATAGAAGTCTTAGACAATAAGAGGTAATGTAGGTGAAATTTATATCATATCAGAACTTATCTGATTCTTGGGTACCAATTCACTTATCTTTTATGGAAAATAGCTGTCTTTTCAGAATTCAAAATGAACATGTTAAAATCAATCACTATCGCCAAGGGCTTTTATTTCAATATTTTATTTTATTTTCACTGGTTTTATTAATAACTATAGGGTGACTTAACTCAGATGGGGGAGAACTAGATTTTCAGATAATAAATAATATATAGATAATGCTAGGTGGGTCTTCTGTTAGCTGCCAATTATTACAACTTTATTAACCACGCCTACTTATAGCAACCTGGTGGCTAGCTCCTCTCCAGCAAACTATAGACAAATTTACAAGAACAATTGCACAATAGAAGGGAAGGCCAGGCCCTGTCAGAAAAACATACATACGCATATACACAAAGTCATTTTTATAGATTGAAATAATAAGAGTGTGTCATTTCTTGCTAACAGAGCTACTAAGCATCCTTCCTTGACTGATCAACAGTATGTAGTATCTTTGAGTTTTCAGCTGGATGCAAAACTAGTAGCTCAACAATTTTATTTGGTTTACATGTTATAAAATGGGCAGAAAAATTAAACATAGCCACCAACAGGGATTTAATTCAGGCTAAGTCTTTGGCTCAAATGTTGCTAGCATGGTACCCAGGTACCCTATGGAAAGACTATTAAGCCCACAATTCAAATTAAAGGAATGGCATGGGTATGTCCCTGGCCACAAAGGGACATATATCATGTTTTTTTGAACATTATGGGTTAAAGTGAAGGTGTGTGTGTGTGGACTTGACAGAATCCAGCTGCAAAAACCTAAAATTAAAAAAGGAAACGTTAAACAGTGATTAACTCCCACATCTGTTTCTTTCAGTCAGTTATTTATAGTAAGACCCAGAGAAATTAGCCAACAGGAATGGAAATGGGAATGGCAGAAGGGCAGGGCTACAGCTCCATGGTGACTGGAACTCTGCTAGAATGTGTGACTCATAATGGAGCGCATGCAAACAGAGGCAGTAGCTCCACTTCTGTCTCAGTTAATATCTTTCTCTCAAAACACAGTAATTAATGCTGGTAACCTATCAAGACCTATCCTAGTTCAACTCTGCTACAATGAGCCCCGATAAAATTCTAGCCTTCCTTGTGAGCAGAATTCTGTTCTTCTTTTCACCACCTTGCTCAGTTGGTCTGCCTTCCATTTTGGAATGAGAGTCCAAAAGTTTCTACCAGCCAAAAGCCCCTCCTGTGTAAAGGTTATAAAATAATCTTAACTGGACTGGCTTTCGCTTCTTTACTATTTTCAACTATAGCTCTCACTTTTCTAATGGAATTGAGATATTGGGTTCCTGCCTTTCTGTTCACATTGAACCTCTCCCTCCCCCTGCTTTGCTTCTCCTTGTTGAGGAGTCTATCCCAAATCATGAATCAATCAAACCCACTTCCTTAAACACTTGCTTCAGATGGACTTTGGGTCTGGGTTTCATACTGGAAGCGGTAAGATAGATGTGTCCTTACCAGGCAGCAGGGTCATACTCAGCCCACACACGAACATACTCATCCAGATGGTGGGGCCCCAAAATGGAGGAGTCGCGGGTCAGATATTCAAAATTATCCATGATGACAGCCACGAAAAGGTTCAACATCTGCAACATCAAAATTGTAGTGAAAAATAACCAGAAATTCCAGGGGAAAAAGATGCTTCACATTAAGGCATGGCAAGAACTTAAAAACCTGCTCAATGATCTAACGAGAAGAGACAATATAGTATTAAACAAAATGTTTTACACCCTTTCTTACACACAAGGCTACACATTTTTAGATAGACAGGTATAAACAATCTTAGATGAAAGCAAGAAAAAAAATACTCAGTAAGGACAAAGGTGGATATGGATTGCTGGTAGAATTTTAGGCCAATCACAGGTAAAGCAAATAGAATACGCTTTCTTGGAAGAGAACACAATGTGGAATCCAGTACAGAATCACTGCACACTTAAGTACGTTACCAAAAATAAGTTCTTAATTTGTACAAAGATAGTGGGTTAGACAAGTGGTCTCCAACCTTGGCAACTTTAAGACCCGTGGACTTCAACTCTGGGAGTTGAAGTCCACAGGTCTTAAAGTTGCCAAGGTTGGAGACCACTGGGTTAGACCATGTTGCTCCAGATGCTCACAAAGCCTCTCCTATTAGTTCCTGGAATAAAATAAGGAGACAGAAGGAACTAATACCAAAGGCATCTTCCAAATTGGGCTTAACAACCATAAAGAGAAACTAGGCAGTTGCCTGAGGTGTAAAAATTTTCCGGACACTTGTCTCAATTATGTAAATGTTTTAGAAATAGAGGCATTGCTTCAGATGCAAGTGGGCAGTCCAAAATTAATATGGCCTCCAGATTATTGGGCTATCATTAATCGTTAACCAGTGGAGATAATGGCAGCTGGGAAAGTGTCACTAAAATTAACACCTTTTCAGGTATAACTCATTAGTTTCCCTTTGCATTTAAAAGCTGAGGAAGTGATTAAATGGTAGACATCAGAAATGAAAAAAAAGAAAGAAAAGAAACATGTGACTAGTACGGTATCTTAAACATGTTTACTTTTCTGGTACTTATTTTCTCTCTGCAGTTTTTAAAAATTTGAGCGCTATTGTTGAATTGACACCACAATTATTCCTCTTAACATCAAGAATGGAAAGCCACAACTCAATAAACAATATGTTTGTCATGCTAGTTTTCCATACTGGTTTTCCATATTTTATCATAGAGAACATGCATTTTTTCACTTCTCATGTTTGCAACAGCAAAAACATTCCACTTTCTTTGAGATCATATAATGTGGGGAGAAGAGGAAAATATGTTCCTTCGTACACTCTGAATTTTTACAATACTACTTGGAACTATTCCTTCCAAGTAGTATGATATTTAAAATGTTTTTGAAAACATCTGTTTGCTTTGCAGTAACCAACATATAGAACAGACATTCCCAAACTGTGGGCCATAGCCCACTAGTGAGCGATGAAGGGTTTGCAACTGAAATAGCCGGCAAGCACATGCATACACACATTCTCATCTGCATGAGCAGCGGGCGAGCAAGTGCATGCGCACGCTGCTGATGGAAATGGAGCTGTGCGCATTTGCCCCCGCCCTTCCCCCTGGTCACAAGGCCGGAAATGTTGGGGAACTCTGATACAGAAGATTTACCTTTCCCTCCCTTATTTCTTTTAATTGTATATTGATAATAATTTGAAATATGTGACTTTTAAAAACTATTATGAAACATAATGTTGGATAAAGACTCCTACAACTGTTTGTTAAATCATTTTTGAAATGCTATCTTAGAAGGATAGTGCACTGACATTTTAACCTGTAATATTCATAGTCACATATACCCCAAATACATGCCGTATCTACCTATTTAGTACTCTGTGTATCCTTTACTCACCAGGAAAGAACACAGGAAAATGAAGGAAACAAAATAGAAGTATGCAAACTCATTGCCACACTGATATCCTTTGAGATCTGCTTTTTCATCACAGAGTTTTCCACTTAGACAAGAGAGCATGATCTCATGCCAAGCCTCACCTGTGGCACTTCTGGGAAAGGGAGATGAAATAAGAACAGATAGTGAGCACTGGAAACTCAGCATTGAGGGAGCAGTCATATCACCATCTGAGGACAAGCGTGATACTAGTAATCAGAAGTCAGAAACTTGTGGGCTCAGACAGTATTAAATGATTGCTAGAACAGAATATAAACTATGTTAATTACAAAATTAACATTGAGGGATGAATTGTGATAATAAAGTAATTGTTTTTTCTTTTACAGAACTAAGTCAGTTACTTTTTTGTAGAACTAAGAAATGATTTCCATTACATTGTCTTTTGAGCTACCAGTACAGTGTACAATTAATTTAGGTAAGCTTTATGTAGCAGAATAAATTAATTTTTGCATTAAATGTAGGCTTGATAAGCCTACGAACTTATGAGGGCTCTTGGTATCATAGCACTTTAACATGGTTTCCCTAGTGAAGAATTATTGCGGAGCCTCACCTAAAAAGAAGCATCAAAGCTTGAAAGAATGTGCGAAAATTATTGTGCTCAGTGATGGCAGGCAAGTCATCCTCAGATATATCCTCATCATGTTTAATGCTAATATTGCCAAAAACCTGAAGAAACAAAGATATACACAGATTAAAAAACTTCCAATTATCAAATGCAATTGAACACTTTGGGAAAAGTAGGCACCATTGTCTTACAGAAAAATTAGTGATTGAATACTGATAAAAGCCCGGAGTGCTCCTTCAGCAAGAGTTTGCAATGAGCTATGGAAAATCAGCAACCAAGTTATTGCTCCAAGGGAAACACTTTATGGATCTTTGCCAGCTGCAATAGAGCCAGAATGGCTTCTTTTGCCATTGATTAAAAGTAGTAGTGGAGGAATACCTGTTTGAACTCCAGGTGTTTCTTGGGATGAGTTCACTGAGTCAAAGGAAAGGATAAAAACAGATTTCTCAAGTAGAAAGAATGAGGGTAATCCTACTTTTTGAACTTTCCCTATGTAGGAAACTCTGGCAGATGTTTCCTACAGAGGTTCTCTTTCAGTCCTTCCCAGAGGTGGATTGCTCCCAGTTCAGCCGAACCAGTAGTGGCGGTGGTGGGAGGTTCCACCTACCCCAGGACACTTCTGTACATGCGCAGAAGCATTATGCACATAAGCATGTGTGTGAGCACGAGCGAACCAATAGTAAACTGCTTAGCAATCCACTACTGGTCCTTCACATCCTTCCTCCCTAATAGAAAAGGATTGGAGCGGGTTCTAAATCCAGAGCCACGCTAGTCCAAGGATAGTCCAATGAAACCCTGAAATCATATGATTAGGCTAAAGGTTTTAGGTTAAATGTGGAATCAAGCTATTTCATACCACTATTTAAACATTGATTTAAAATGTGAAAGATACTACATTAAGCATCTTCAGACTGTACTAGAATATATGGAGCAAGCACTAACATGTTGCAAAGGAGATGATTGTAGCAATAATGTTATTGATTAATAATGTCACAAAATTATGGGTTTGTCAAAAATGGATTATGCCAGACAAACCTTACTGCATTCTTTCACAAAGTGACTAAATGAGTGGACCAGCAAAATGCTTGGACGTTATATATTTTCATATAGTATACTTTCTTTAGTAAGTCATTTGACAAAGTAGACCACTACCTACTTCTTGGTAAGAGAGACAAATGTGGGATAGACAACACCACCACTATATGGATTCATAACTGGTTGACAAACTACACTCAACATGGAACCACATCTCCATGGAGGGAAGCATGCAGTGGGATATTCCAAGGCTCTGTCTTAGGCCCAGATGACATCAAGCTTTGGGGAATAGCCAACACTTCAGAAACACTTAAGATCCAGAAAGATCTTGACAGACTTAAACATTGGGCCCTAACCATCAAAATGCAATTCAGTAGTGAGAAAAATAAAGTCTTACACTTAGGCAAGAAAAACCCAATGTATAGTACAGGATAGACAGTATGTAGCTCAAAAGCAGTAATTGTGAGAGGGCTCCAGGAGACCTAATGGATAACCACTTCCCAAAAAGCAAATGTAGTCCTAGGCTGCATTAACAGAAGGATAGTATCAAGGTCAGATGAAGGGTTAGCACCGCTTTATACAGTTTTGGTAAGACCATACTTGGAATACTGCATTCAGTTTTGGTCACCATGAAACAAAAAGATATTGGGACTCTAGAAAAAGTGTAAAGTAGAGCAATAAAGATGAACAGAGGGCTGGAGGCTAAATCATATGATTAACGGTTGCAGGAACTCGGTATGTTTAGTCTAATCAAGAGAATGACTAGGGGTGATGTGATAGCAGCCTTCCGGTATTTGAGGGGCTGTTACAGAGAAATAGGGGTCAATCATTTTCCAAAGCACCTGAGGGCAGAACAAGAAGTAAGTGATGGAAACTTATTAAGGAGAGATTCAACTTATAATTAAAGATAAATTTCTGGACAGTGAGAATAATTAACCAGTTGACTAAAAGACTGCCAAAGTCCCTTCCAAGTCTGTTATTCTGTATTCTTCAGGGTTTTCCACACTTGCCCAAGGCAGCACAGCCTCCCATTGGGTGAGGTCTCTCAAATTCTAAAGGCCTAAAATAAAACCAATAGGACTACCAATCCCAAACCATCACACTGCTCCTATAGCAAGCATAACAATACTCCACATGAGATAGTTGCTTACCTGCATTCCTATAATGGCGTAGATAAAAAACAGCATTGCAATCAGCAAACACACATATGGAAGGGCCTAGTAGAATGAAATAAAAGCATATTTTTTCTAAATTTTTTTTTTTAAACAATCACACTGGTTTTACTGGGAATATAGCACTTTGCTTCTTACAAACGTTAGTTGTTCTCAAAGGCTCACTGCTGTTTGTTGTTCAATGTGGTAATAATTACCGGTAACTATATTATTCTTTTTACTAATTCTTGTTGCATACTACTATGACTACAAAAATTATGCTATGACTGCTTTTATGTACAAACACGAACTCTTAGAAAAATATTCATGAGATACAATCCCACTGGCACCATAATGAAAATCATGTTTCAAAGTTACAGTTAATAGCTAGAGATTGAATAGAAATGAAAGCGGCAGAGCTATAAAGATGCTAGGTCTGATTCCTTAGCTTTTACATCTTTGTATTTTTATTCTCTGTACCAAACACTTTAAATTAGCAATTCAGTACCTTTGATCATTACCTTAAAAGATTGGACAAAGGTCCAGAGCAGAATGCGGATGGTATAGCCTTGTCGGAGCAACTTAATGAGACGGGCAGCTCGAAACAGCCTAAGAAAACTCAGGTTGATGAAGTTGTTCTGGGGAGATGAAGGAAAAATACACAAGCAAGATCAGAATGGCGTGCAGAAACTAAAGATCCAGGAACTGGTTAAGAAAACAAATTCAAACCAACACTGCACTGGTTAGTAAAATTAATAAGGGTAATTAAATAGCAAAGAAAGGAAGAGAGTAATCCATAGGTTAGTTATTAACATTGTGATTGATTCTGATTGGGTATTTTTATTGTTTTAAATCTTATTTTACCAGATTTTTTTAGCAACTAAAGATCCTCGGACTGAAGTGAAATATAAAGGAAAGGAATAGAAAAGAGGCTCATCTCCAAACCCCAAATAATCTAACTGGAAAATCAGTGATAGTTCATCAATACAAGTATGCATCTTACGAAATTATCTAAGACCAAATGCTGTGATTTCTATTTTTTTTAAAATACAAGTAGGTAGAGTTTTTGGCAAAGTAGAAAAAAGAATATACAGCTCTGGGTTTACCAGGATGCATTTTTACATGTTTTACTTGACCCAAAACCACTGAAAGCTGTAAATATTCAAAGAATATGAAAGTTAAGTTCAAGAAGCTATGTTTTAGATCCACTAGAGATGGTTAAATATTTGAATCATATCTTTACTTGATGCATCATGGACCCTTGCTGGCTTACAAATAAATCATATAGGAAGTAATTTTGCTGCATTAGATACAAAGAAATATATAATTTAGCTTCAGTGATTATGATCATGGTTGAAAATCCTGCTGATTCTAGTAGATCAAAAGACTTCTATGATGTTGCCTCATCATGTGATATTGTTGTATGTACCTCTGGGTTTCTATGAAATATACATCCCAAGACTAAATGTAACTTTATAATAGGTGCTTCAGAGCCCATTATTACACAAACAAACTTCCAATAAAACTGTACACACACAAAAAGACTCAAACACTACATATGTGATGTGGATGTTCAATATATATCTGACTTCGACTTCAAACAAAAAGAGTTGCCATGCAAGTTACATGGTAGACATTCTAAGACATCTAGTATTTCAGCTGAAAATTTCTATGTAGGCAAGCTTTACTACTTCTCAAGAATCTACTTCATGTGGCCTTCATGTGGAAGAAATGAGAGGTAGGCAGAGTAAGTGCCATACATGTTTATTGAGGAAAATGGAGGTTCACTCTGCTCATGAATCTTAAGACATTCCAGGTTATATGATAGCTACAGTCACTATTCAATAAGAACATTACAATGGACAGGGCATACTCATTCCTTCTAACACTCCCACTGCTAGTTTCACTCTCTCTTACACACAATATTTTTCCTTATCTCCAAGTTAGTACTGCCAAAATCTGATTTTATATATTTGAACCTACGGTAGGATGTCAGTTTAAGGGGAGAATACTACATTTAAAACAACAGAGCTGATGACTTAACACTTTCTCTTTATTATGTGGAGACATGAGAAAAGTGGGACCATGGGCTATAATTTAAAAAAATTACTTTTAGAAAGCAGCTGAATGCAAACAGCAACAGACAAACTGAATCATAAATCACATCTGAATATTACTATATTAAATTATTTCTTCACTGTAGGAATAATTTTAATAATTTTAGTTACACTTGCATTAAATATTAGAAAATTAATTAAATCAATGCTTAATTTAAAATAAAGTGCCGTGTAACTTGCATGGCACTTAAGCAAATTTGCTTGAATTCCTTAGAATATCTCCCTCTTTTAGTGAAATCCACTTGGAAGCCCATACTGTATCTTCTCCCCTAAGATAGATTCAGAAGCTTAAATAACACTTCATCTGATTCCGAACGGTGGAGTTTGCATTTCTTGGACTTTGACACATTACGTGCAGCAAGAATATCTCAAATTACAATTACTAACCCTTGCAAAGTATGCATGTTTGTGTTAGATTTATAAACTGTTTCACTCCAGAGGGCCTCAGCAAGACACAAATTGATGAATGAGGAAGAGATTAGGTTTTGTCTTGCTACACATTTTGCTTCTAAATGCTGCATTAAGGCATGGTTATTATGATCTTTCTCAGATATTAGAGTTAACATATCATGTAAGTACAATATTTAAAGCCACCCAGAGGCTTTGATTAGAGCAGCAAGTAAATCTGGTAAAGAAAGAGTCAAACAATTTGTACATAGACTTTGTTTTGGACAGGTGTCCATTTGGCATACAGCAGACTTGTTAACAGCAGACTCCCTATCTTATGCAGGGAATAATGCACACTCTCCAAATCAGGTTTATCTAAATACTTAGATAAGTATCTAAGAGATCGGCTTCTTTGAAATTTTTATAGTGTAGGCTTTTAATTGGTCACTATCCACTTCATCATAAGTGTGAAAGGCAATTCTAAAAGGCAAGCACATGCACACAGAAGGAACACATATACATTAGGGATCTTCCTGTCATTAACCGGAGGAAATGCTGTTCGATGTCTGAAAAAGCAAAGATGACCTACATGATAATACAATTGCACAGATATGAAAGGAAACAAAGGCAACAAAAATACTCCCCCAATTGGTCATTGTGCTGACAGTGAAGTCTCCCCTTTGAGAACCTCTAGATTATAAAAGATAGTGGGAAGGTACCTTGGCTCCTTAACAAGAGGAAAGTTGAGAACTCCTCAGGAGCTGGAATTAGTCAAGAATTTATCAACGGTTCAAAGGAAATGTTGCAAACATAATTTTGCAGCACTTTCTTTGGAGCCTAAGCTGAGCTAACAGTTAAGTGGTTCAAATTACCCAATCACCACAGTTCTACCAAAAAGTCTTACCTGTTTTGATCAGCTAGGATAAATAAAAATAATTGTTCTTGTGGTTGACCTATGTATAGTACAAACCAGAGGGGGAACATTTCTGGGAGATCTTTCAAAAGATCAGAAAGACAGAACACAGCACACCTCTGAGTTAGCTGACTGGGACAAGATTTGGCAATACTCTTTAGTTCCAGACATACAATACATAAACTTTATATGACGGTACTATAAACTATTTTCTCTTTAGCCATATGGCTAGTAGTCACAATGTTTTATTCAATAGCCTTTATGTAATGGCTTTAGGCATGGCTCAGATACTCCAGTTGGTTTGTCATCAGTATGTGGATGATAGCTAGCTATTTTTGATAGTTATATTGTCAACTGGAATCTATGTCTGACTTTGAAAAATGCAAGGCAAGGTGTCCTTTAAGTTATGGGAATGGTGTGAGGAAATGACAGATTAAAACTGCCATGAGCACAGAAAGGAATTGTACTTTTACATCCACAGGTGTGATATCCTAATATTCAACAGATTCTAATTTAACCATTCCATGTGAAGTATCTGCCAATTTTAAGTCAGGGATTCTTATAATGAGGGTCAATGCTCCGACACCCAGTTTTCCTCCTGCATGGTTGAGCAGTGGTAGAGGATTTTGATGCTTTCCACACATATTATTAATTGGAATGCTTCTTTCAATGTTTAATACAACTTATTATAATGTGTGTTTTATGAGCTACTTTTGAAAATACCTTGGAAACTATGTCCGGCACAGAATATTGCAGCCAGATTGTTGTCCAGAACTTTGGTACAAACTGTCCTTTCATTGCTCTTTATTCACTTCAGAATCTCTGTTTCTGATCATAGGTCAGGGGCCTGGCAACAATAGAAGGGTCTCTCAGGCATCTAACCTGAGATTTCATGAAAAACTATCAGCTTGTATGCAAATTAATTTATTAGAATATTTTCCTCTAATGTAGGAGATATACCTACAGAACCTTCTAATCATGTAACAAAATAACCAGCTGTGATTAATATGCATGCTGCTCACTATTGGTCTGGATAGTATTCCATATTTCAGCTCAGTCAGAAATGCCTTGGCTGGCTTTAAACCAAGAGAATATATGAGCTTGCCTATGGTGAAAATATCAGTTTTAAACATACTATTGCCATTTCAATTGCTGTCAATACAAGGTACTCCTTAACAGAGGTGAATATGTTGTGGAACTTTCTTTGTAGGGAACCATTTGGCTCTCATTTTGATACTTTAAAATATGCTGCTTTGAAAGCCTTTTTGGCCAGAAATGAACAATAAATAAATATTATTTCAGGTATTATTTCAGGTTACATTCACTATTATAACTTTAGGCTGAATAGTGTACAATGTAATAAAGTAAATTTATTTGAATTTTACTTTGTAAAAATCAGCTAAATTTCTAGAAAGGTCAGAGTGTCATCAAAATCTGAAGACAATTGATGTTCGGCTTTTCATTAGCTTTCAATATAAGATAATAATGCTTTAATTAATTCTAAAAGTATTATTGTATACAAATCACATTCTGTTGTAAAGATTCATTTTATTCTGGTACTAACTCTAAGAGAAAATGGATTTTACAAAATGTTATTAAAAGTGTTTAGAGAAATACATTTTTATAAGCTTATTAAATCCTTGGGAATTTGATTTGGCTGATAACTTTTTCAAGACCAAAATTTCTGCAATTTCTTACAGCATTCTGAATTCATAGATTAACTAAAGCAGTACTTTCATCTGTAATCTCTTCCTTCTTTTGCAAAGTGTGTTTAAATAACCCTTTCAATGCTAAAGAAATGAATCATATCAAGCTGCAAAATCTAGATTACACTTTAAATTTTTTTAAAAATAATATTGTTCCTATTAGTATAGCTGTTTCCTTACCCCTGCTAATCTGGGCACATTCATTATTTATAGAATAACGAACAAAATAAAACCCTAAAAATGCTCAGGTATGTGTATGCCTTCACACACACACACAGTTTAATGAAACAGAGGTAGTCAACCACATACACAAAGTTTTCAATTTTCCTAATCCTGAGCCTCATCTTTGTTGTGCTCTATATTTTGTAAAAGCTATTCAGAACCCAATTCCTCAGTTTCTCTGCAGACAATATGAATATAATGCTGATTACTAGCCCATGTTGGAAGTTGCATTTTAATGCATTTTAATCCTTGAATAGCAAGGTCAGTTTCATCATCCTAAAACCGTGACTACTTTGGGGCTTTGTTGCACTGTATCAACTTTCTCCAACCTGGTACCCCTCCAGTGTGTAGGAATTCACATCCCCCTCCATATGATAGAATATGTCCTGGATTTGGTGAATATAATAATGTACTGTCTCAGAATTTATAATCAACCCCTCCTTGCCCAATTCTTGTAACCATGCAGAAAAAGATCTGTTATTGATTTTGCCAGCATCTTTTTCTTCACTACAAGACTATTAAGAGAAGCTGTCTGATTGTGAAACAGCATGGGGAAGAAATTGTGAAGGAGAAGTTCTATCTTGATTGAAATAATAACACAGCCTAGCTCAGGAAAAGAAAGGATATGAATATATTTTTCCTTTTGTTTTTTCCATGGGGTGAACAGGGAAAGGGCTGGAGATTGAATAGGAAAATGAGAAAGCTTCTTACTCCTACTGTTGATTTCAAAGAAAAAGTTATAGGAAGATATGGATATCTGTACCTCTACACCTTGGATTAATGGAATGACCCAACCACATCTAATATAGGCATCTAATAAAGCAATACCAAAACAGTCCTATTAATGAAGGTTGCGTTAATCAGCTTCATCTATTGAGTATTATGGATTCCTAGGAAATTTAACTTCTAGCGCTACACTAATAGTTCTGGTCTGGTCTGTTAGGATGTCCTACTTGACAGACTTAAATCCTAATTGCTCCTGAATATGTATATATCTCTTTTGGAAAGTGCAAGTTAATCCTAACCCTAATCTGCTCTTTGATTTCAACTGATGGCAAATTGCATACTAAAAAAGACTTAACAATGGACAATAATCACATTAAGGACTCAGATTAAGATTGGTATAAGCACCTTTCTAGAGGGACATTGGGATCTTTATTCCAACGTAAACTGTCTCGTTTGAGCTCTTCTGATTTTCTGCCAAAATAAATGCCTTTAATAAAATGAGTACTCCTAAAGTTTACAAATATTAGGGTCAACCTATATATTAACCCTTTAATGAAGAACTAAAAATGTAGAATTGATTGTTGACATCTTAAATTTGTTTGTGGAGGAGGGGAAAAACTATTAACGGAGGAATAAATAAGTCTCACAAGACTATCCTTGTACTATTCCTATTTTGATTTTTATGATTTCTCTCCTGTTAAGAGTTTAAGATGGTGGATTTCTTGTGTGTCAATTTTTATTCCCCACTCCTTGCAGAATGCCTCCCTCCCCCAGAATGTCATGCTCACCAGTTTTGAACTTACCCCAAACTCTGTCACTAAGATGTCTGTGATGCTACCCAGAACTGTGACAAAATCAAAGATATTCCAGGCATCACGGAAATAATTCTATAAAGAAAGAACAAAACAAAGGACGAAAAGGAACAGCCACACAGCAGCAAACAGGTGACAACATTTAGTCACGACGGAAGCAACAATAACAAGAACAGAGAAATTTCCACTCTAGCTACCTTATCCCCTAATACACTCTGGGTTATCTTTTTAGTATACTCCAATTCTTACTATTCAAATTACAAAGGAACTTCCATTACCAAGGATTCTTTGTTTACATCATCCTTTTTTTCTGAAATAGTGGCAGTAGAGCATGTGTCATGTACCGAGGTTACATGCCCAGAAACCTATGGTATCTACCTATAGTATTGGTCATAAATATGACTGCAACATATGAAAGTAGGGGAAAGCTTACAAAATATGCTGGGTAAGCACCTGAAGCAACCCAGTGAAGCCAAGATACCTATCCTGCAAGCAACCAGCAACTATGTACAACTTTCCTTAATTCCACTACATTTATCTGTAGGACAGTCACATGAACGTCTATAAAATAAATACAACACACATGAGCTTAATAATATGATTTTTGCACCTGGGCAGCATTCCATTAAAGAAAAAAAAAGCTAAAGGTTTCTTTAGCTTTTCTGACTAAGTAATGGCAAAGCTGTTGATAAGTATAATTTAGCTCATTAGAAAAGCAAATAGAAAGATGTTAGGATGAGTAGGATCTTAAACCAAGTAATTTTACTGGGGAGAATAACCTCAACAGAAATATAAAACATAGCAGTGAGGAGTTGGAAGGTTATTTTCTAACCATCAAAAATGTAGTACTGTTGTCATTGCTTAATATACTATTTATTTTGAAGCTCTGTTGCCTGAAGAGCTGGCAATCAAGAAGGTAAAGAGTGGGGAAAGACTAAAGATTCAGAATTATCACACATTGATCCTTATGCAGCAAGGAATACTTTGTGAACTGACAGCCTAAGCGTGTATTTTTATTTGTTTAAAGGTAGGTTGGTCTTGTGGAGTCTTATTTCCCTTACGTGATTCTCACAATATCGATTGTAACAAATTATTGTTCCTATAAAATTATGGTGGTTTTTATTTTCCTTTTATATGTCCACAGACACAAATGACATTTTTGGTTCAAGATTTGTCTGGATATATATATATATATTTTCCAATTGAGAGCCAAGATCTTTACCATGGACTCAACATTGAAACTATTTTTCTCAAGTGGAAGGCTCAAAACTTTCATCAAGAATAAGCTAACAAACAACTAATATCTGCACATAATGTTTTCAGTTTTCAGGTGACTATTATTTCTGAGGAGTTGTCCAGAAATCAATTAGTAATAACTATTTTTGAGATATGGAGCTACTTCTGTCAAATAAATCTTATATTACAGCTGATAATTTTAAATACCCATATTTTTCAGAGTATAAGATGCACCAGAGTATAAGATGCGCCAAGATTTTGAAGAGGCAAATTAATTTTTTTTTAAAAAGTATTTGCACTCTGCAGACTTCCCAAAAACGCCAGTTTTTCGTGAAAACGTGCCCTATTTTTTTAAAAAAAGGGCATGAATAGCCTTTAGGAGGCTTGTAGAGTGCTCGGGGGCGGGAGGGGGGCCGCAAAAATGAGCAAAAAATGGTCCATTTTTTGCTCATTTCCAGCCCCCGGGAGCACTCTGGAAGCCTCCTAAAGGCTGTGCATGGCCATTTTGGTGAAGGAGACGGGATTTGGGAAGGCAAAAAATGCTCTATTCAGTGTATCTAACACACCCAGATTTTCAGCCTCTCTTTTGAGGGAAAAAGGTGCATCTTATACTCCGAAAAATACAGTATATAGTTATTTTAAATTAAAAATGTTAATTGTAATTAAAAGTTTAAAAGCTAGAATATTAACTTGGATATATGAAATATATATGATTACTTCTACAGCAAGGGAAGTCAATCACTAGTCTGTTTTTCTATACTCCTAGTAAATTACAGACTATTCTAATGACCTTCAAGGCCAATTTCTGGCATTCTTGTAGCATTATATAGAAGACAATAACTGAGAATCCTAAAACCTATAATGGGGTAGATGTTTTAAATAGTTACTTTTTTAAAAAAAAGTGTAATGTATTTTTCCCTATTTCTTATGGTAGCGGTATGCTTCTTATATTTTACAGTGGAATTTGTAAATTCTAGCAAGAGTGATACTTACCAGCACTCCAAAGGCAATGATTTTCAGAATACATTCCAAGGAAAACAGGGCAGTGAAGACAATGTTGAACATCCTTAATAAATTATCGTAAAGATTTGTTGCATTGTAGAACTACCAAAGAGGAGGTATGAGGGAGAGACAAGAGAGAAAGAATGTACAATCATGAATTAAACTAGCGTGATCTGAACAATGATCTAACACAGTGTTTTTCAACCCTTTTTGTGCAAAGGCACACTTTTTTCATGAAAAAAATCACGAGGCACACCACCATTAGAAAATGTTAAAATTTTTTAACTCTGTGCCTATATTGATTATATAGCGGGTGTTTTTCCCACGGCACACCTTACACTATGTCACGGCACACTAGTGTGCCGCGGCACAGTGGTTGAAAAACACTGATCTAACAGTCTAGGACCAAAGTAAGATTTATACTATTAAGGCTCAGGTTAGACATAGTTCAGGAATTAGTCAGCAGAGCCAGTCAGCAAAATTAAGGAGAGATCAATCGGGTAAGATTAACAGGAGCTCAAATAATTATATAGGGGTGTGTGCGCGTGCGTGTGCATCTGTGTGCATGTGTATAAAGTATGTATGATATATGGACAAGTCAAGATACATGTGATATATATTCAGTGTAGGTAGTACCAAGTCATAGCAATTTCTACTTACTTTCATCATTAAGACAATGGTGTTTAGGGCAATCATGGCCATAATGGTGTATTCAAAAGGAGGGGAAACCACAAACTGCCACATACGGTACTGAAAGCTCTGCTTGTTTTGAGGCATGTGTCGGGTTAGTGGCTTGGCGCTGATAGCAAAATCAATGCAGGCTCGCTATGAAAAAAAGGAAGAAACAACAATCAGGGATCTACAGCATTCGCCTCCTTCAAGCAAAAAAAAAAAAAAAAAAAAAAAGCTAAGGAAAGTCCCAGGGTGTATGTTACACAGAAAGCTTTTGTTGCAGCTGCAAGTACATTGCCTAATTGTATTGCCAAATTATGTTAATGATTTAGTTTGTATTTCCCCCAGTGCCTGCCCTCATATTGTTGTCTTAAATGAATCATTTTTGAGCATGGCCTTTGGCATATCTTCACATGTGCCAGCCATTCTAGGCAAAAAAGGAAGTACACATCCCTATTTTAAATATGGGGAGGGGGGAGCTTAAATGATTTCTATCCTAGATAAATGTAACTCTAAATCAATTCTATTAAAGTCTGTTTGGCAAAAAAGAAAAAACCCTGCTTACCTTCTTGCTCCTCACTCTTAACGAAAAAATGCTTTTCATCAGAATGGATAGAAATATGTACAAGTAATATAAGACCTTTCCTCATGACTATATAAATGTGCTTTCCTTTAGGTTCTAAGATGACACACAGCTTTTGCTACCATAATTTTTGCTCCCTTCATTGTTAAACCTGGTTCTGCCTCAGCAGTGAAATAGCACCTGGTGGTTTTCCCCACAGATTTAATGTAGAACAAATTAAGAAGAGAGATTAGTGAATATCTTGGCAGTAGGAGAAACAGTGACAACACTTCCTCATTAAAGATGGAGGCAAATTTCAGAAGGTGGCTAGGCCATTTGCCCAAACCTGATCTTAACTAGCTGGTCTGCAGACAATGGAGCATACCTGCTTTACTAGATAGAGACACCACTATCCCTTGCACACGTACCATGTGCGTCATCTTGAATCCTCCCCTGAGCCTTTGAGGGGTGACAGTTCTGTCTAATACACAAATGATGCTCTCCTGCATTACTGAGTAGTACCCTCCCTTGCATGTTAAGTTTATGGTCCAATCCATGTGATGTAGTGCTGCCCTGTAAAATATTTAATCCACAGGCAATATTGGAAACTTTATAGACAAAGCTCACCATCCTTTCGCTGCTTCTCCTGCCATTCTTGCAAGTCCTGTCAGGACTAGCAATATATATAGTGTGTATGAATGTATGTACAAACATACATACGTACATACAGTGGGACCTTAGGTCACAAACAGTTCTCACCATGACCAAATCGGGCTGACCAAAAAAATCCTCTAAATGTTTCACTTTGTTCATGAACACGTCGTTGGGTGGCAATCAAACACACCCGCAGTGATTTCCCCTTCCGCGCCTTTTGTGTGTGTGTGTGTGCGCATGAGCAGTCAGCCTTGTTTCTGGTCACAACCAAATCAGGTTCCGCCCGAAGTCCTGGAACGGATTATGGTCGTGACCGGAGGTCCCACTGTACATACATACATACAGAATACACACACACACACACACGGGTGGCACTATAGACATTAATCCCATAGATCACTTCTGGGACCAGAAAACTGGCACCTACAGAATTGCTTCCCCCTTAAAGCCTTTTGACCCAGATCTCTGTTTAAAAGTAGCTTTATCCACTTCTCCTACTAGCTGGAGAAAAAAAGTGCCAGTCCAAGGATGGGGAAAATCATAGGAAGGAGATGGGGGAAGTGACAGGCAAAACGGTGGAAGGACTTAAATTGTTCCCTCTTCATCTGTTACCTATTTTTCAGAGCAGATGTTAAATATTGCGGTCTTGAGTACATCAGGTAGATTTAAAAATAGCATTCCTCTCTTTTTCTAGCCTGAAAAGTAGGTATGGTGCTATTTATAAAAAACAATTCACTCCTGCAGTCTGAGCCAAAATGCCCATGGAGGGCAATGCAACATGATCAGAGGGGATGCACAAGCCAACAGCAGCCTAAAATGCCCAATGGGAACTGGACAGATCTCAATATCCCTAGTATCATGAAGGAATAATTTATCATTTAGGAAGATTTGTGTCTGAAGAGAAAAAAAACTCTAACCACCTGAATATATTTCAGCAGCCTCTCTGTTAGGCTAGAAATGACAAGATATATCATGAAGACATGATGGTTAACAATGGTTGTGCCATAGGCAGTGAACAGCTTGAACAGCTCTATATTACACCTGGGGACAATGCACCATTATGTCTGTGGAGATGCTCAGTTATCCAGGTCATGGTTGTCTCAAAGGTGCTTTTTCAAAAGGCAACTAGACTTTCTTAATTCTTTTCTTTAAAAATGTTCGAACTGAAGAAGCTATTTATTTATTTATTTATTTATTTATTCATTCATTCATTCATTCATTCATTCATTCATTCATTCATTCATTCATTCATTCATTCATTC